TTTCTGTAAAAAGGACGCCCAGTTTTAATTTGCACGTGGGCGGCAGACGGTCTAGAATCGGTACTGCACATAATAAAACAAGCATTTCAAAATGCAAAGATCCTTGACGATAATCGAATACGTGCATGGTATATACACAGCAGCTTATCATATGTTGCTATATAAAACAAAACCCAAAAGATTTTGACGAATTTTAATCATCAAAGTAAAGCTATCTTATTTTTGTAAGGATTGTTAGGATACGAGATCCTTTTCATTTGTATATTTGCATAGAAAGAAATTAAAAATATAAAGCTATAAAAAAGTAATGCCTCGAGTTCTTTGCAATACATTGGGTTCAGAATTATTCCAAAAGGTACCTAGATATGAAGTTATGTAATTTTTATGTAGACTTACTTAAACACCCAAAAATACATCACAAAACGTTTGTGCAATGAATTGCATTATAGTTACAATAATTTCGTTTTTATTCAAAATTCATTTATAATTATTACATTAAAAATATGTTATTCGGCTTGTACCTTCAAATTTTTTGTTCATTTTTAACAATAATAATAAGAGTATGTGTGCACTGTAAGTGTAGTAATAAGAGTAATGTATAGACTATGAATGACTGATTCTTTTAAGAGACTAACGAGTGCAGGCACACTAAAAACGCAGTTATCATAAACAGCATGTTTCAAAAGATGAATTTTCTCCGAGGGAACATACTGGCGCTGTGGATCATGTCACAGATATAAACCCAAAAATTTTTAAGTTTCTGAAATCAAATATTACTTTCAAGAAAATTTAGAACACTAAATTTACTACTAAGAAAATGGGGCTATGCTTGAAAATCCACGTCATTAATTGCATTATTTCTATATTGGCAACTGGATATTGCTAAGGAATCATTCAATTGTTGTTTGAGCACGGCCATTTGACTTGAGAACCCAATAACAGAATGTTTTAAATATCATCAGTATTGTAGCTTGTTTATGGCAAGTCACGTGACGTCCAGCCATTAATTTAGTATCATATCTTTGCATGTTGAGTGTACAGATGAGTAGTAATGACTGTAAAAAATTCTATGCGAAAGACTAGTATAACATGAACAAAAAGATTACCTCTCTAACTTTTTGAAAAAAATAGCTCACAAAACAAGAGAAACATATTCAAGTGCGCATAACTTTTACTCCCATAGCTACAGTCACGGTTAAATAATCAATGTAGCGCAACAGAAAGGTGAAAGACCACCTGCCATTTTTCGAACAAGGAAAAAAACCATGACCTCGTTAAAAACGAATGCCGATCAAAAAGGAAGCAATCAATGTAAAGGAAACTACATTTCAAGGTCCACTTTCACCTTAGGAAATATTGTGTCTTGAAGGAAATTCCTTTCCTTTCAAGGGTAAATACGTGATAACCTTCACAGATGGTAATGATTTAATTATGTTTCAATAACGAATTTCGGGAATGTATTTTCAAAGTTATTTCATACTTGAATTTGGAAATAACCTGGAAAATGTAAAAATTACAAGTTTATTTCTAATGAATGCACATCACGGCTTGGATCTTCCACGGATTAAGCAAGAATGTCATTAAGAAATTAAAACTGTTGTGCTACATTTCTTCTTGCTTTGAAACTAAGCAGAGTAAATTAAAGTGAATATCAGAACTTCTCTACCAAGCCAGAGCAACTACAGTAAATATCCAAGAACATGGTAAATTCATTATTTACGTTTATTTTATTTTAATGAGAAACATCTAGAATTCCGAAAAATGAAAGTGATACTTTTATAAATTATGAAAAGGCATTTTTATTTTCCAGAAACATATTCGTTTTACTAATTCCATATTATAGAAAATTCAAAATACATGCTGAATTACCAACAGCAAATACTCAAAACTTTTCCTACGTAAATTCTAAAGGAAATGCCTTAAAAAAACACAAAGGTACTGTCATATATCTATCATGAGGTGGGCTTGATGGGAGCATTTTCATATAGCATTACGTACGAATGGGATGAACACTGTATTTATAACACGAAAAAAACAAATGCAATTCACATAAGGTTACTAACATAATATTCCGCTGGCATACAACGTGTAACATTTATTATCGTGACATTCCGTTGCTCCATGTTCTTAACTGAGTATCATGAGAGAGAGGCAAAAACGCCCGGCGTTTGGCTGAAATGCGCATGCGTGGTGCTCATCAAATCAACAGAGTACATTAGATATCTAAAAGTTATGTGCCTCCTAACACGTTCAAACTTAGAACCTTTCCGAGCACCATCGTAATTCCTCAGTAGCAGTCAGGTCACCCCGTGTGCAGATTTTACCCGAAAGTTTTCGTACCTCATCGATTTTGCAAATATATAAAACTGCCAGCTTTGCACGCCGCATAAGACGTTACATTCCTTACAGTACTCACGATCAATCTCATACTTGAAGACAAATTTTGTCATTGCAACTAACACAGAGCGATTTTGATCTCTTCATATAAGATGGTTGGATAAAAGTAACGTCCGATGACGAAGTACCTGAATTCAAAACCCTGCTCACACTGCAGACTAGTAATGATTATGAATAGAAGATTTGAATAACATGGGTATGATAAATGGAATCGTAGTTTAGGTCTTGTTGAACTAAGGAAAGGCTATGTGAAGCGGCAGCCCACTTGGAACTGAATAATGTATACATCTACCTCCATGTGATCAAATTTCTTTGGAGGAGCACCATCGCAGCATCACAAATGTGTACTTTATTGGTCTTACCACATCCTTAGTAGTCATTGTTGCAGATTGTTTTGAAAGGAAAATTTCGATTGATTACATCATCGGAAATCCGCAAGAATACATTTATGGAATTGGTCGTGCTAAAGATATTCTAGATCAGCGGACGGCAAGCCTACCGCATGCGGCTCTTATAAGAATTTATTTCGACAAAGTTCAAAAAGGGGAGCGGAGTATCAGTCGGATTGATATAGCGGGAATAGGTACGTGATGAGGAGGATTCGTACAGCTAATAATACACGAGTTGAGCGAAAGCCAGTCATAGCTTGTCCGTCAGTGCGTATAGTTGTTAGTGGTTTGAGGCGTTGAAAAGTTTTGCGCAAACTACCTATGCGGCGCATTAACCTACTTTAATCTTTCAAGCAGTTGCCGATCTCGCATGCATTTTGAAAAACCAAAGCCTTCGCTAACTTTTATGTTTAAATACCGAACCGCACGAAATGATTTTAGAGTCACAGCAATTTCCTCCCCACTCCATCCATTAGTGCAGAAAGAGTGACAATTTCAAATGACATCCTTTCTACTTCCAACAAAATAAAGAAACATATAAATCCTTTTAGGACAAGCTATTTGCAATAAACTGATACAATGCATTAGGAGAGGGAAGAAAAAATCGTAATTTCGGTAGTTTGTGGTCGTCTGAATGAAAGGTAGTCTAGGTCGTTTTGGTCTTCAAAGAGTTAATAGCTACTTTCATCTTTCAAATAGTTGCAGATCTCGTATGTATTTTGGTATCAGTTTAACAATACTTCGTGCTGTTGCTTTTAGTGCAACAGCACGAAGTATTATTAAACATGTTTTCATGTGCCAATCATACATATAGACCAACTCGCATGTAATCATGCGGAAGCTCACCAGAGAAATTAGGGATTATGCTTATGCCCATCATTCACACATCTTTATTTGGTCAATAAAAAGGCAACTTGAATATTCCATGAGCTCAGAGTTGTGCAGAAAGGAAACCACATAACTACAAGCGTATCTCTTTCACACTGCAAAGTTTAAATCCTTATTAAATCGCAATTACAAATGTTTTTAATGACTCCAGGAAAATGAGGTTGGTCTTAAGGGTAAAATATATTCCGATTTTTTAATCAAACTTATTTACACCCCGTTTAGTTTAAAGCCAGACGCTTATTTGCAGTTGCCATCGAGTAAAATTAATACTGCAGCTAAAGTGTACCGATGTCAGCTCGAGATATGCATAAGTGTTCAGCTTCAAAACGACTATCATTGCTGAACCGCAAAGACCTTTACAGGAACCATACAGTCTATAAACTATATGTTGGACTGGAACTATTGCCACCAAGAGCCTGTTCTCCACACACTGCTCCTTAACTTTTTCCGATCGATACAACATTTCGTGGACAGACAGAGTTCAATGACGAAGATCACTGATCAATGTTGAACCATCATTTTGCATCCTACCACTGCACTCCTGCATAGAAGACATCCAACAGCTATAGAAATTAATAAAAACAGCTAACTTGTAAGAATGCATTGTGGGATGATTTGTACTCTTATATAATCCAATTATACCTCTGTTCTTTCAATTTACAACATTCGTTTTCCTATCCTTTATGCATCAAGCTATTGCAATGAACAATAAAGTAAAATTTTGACAGTACCACAATATGTATCAATGAACAGGCTACCTAGGGCACATCTGTAGTTTCATTCAAAATGGTATTTCAGAAATATATGTCACGAACACATAACAGTGCTAGAATGACATATTTATGCCAACAGGTGCACCAGCGGCTGAGCGGTTAAAGCCACTAAACACGGATAATTCAAGCCTGGCTGGCTGGCTACATGGACGTTTTCATGATTTTCCCATGTGTGATATGAAAATGACCCCATTTCCACTTAAGTTCTCCACGAAGGCAGCCCTCTCCCTCGCCTGATTGCCCTCATATGCTTTATTGTATTAGAAAAACTTAGCAAAATCAACACAAGTATATTGAACTCACGCAAAATTTAACCTAAAAGCAAATAATTACGGCTCCTTAACTGAAAATAATTTTTAATGTAGAGATAGTCATAGGGATTTTATTTGTAATGCGTAACGTTTTCCCAATTAATCATTTTCTGCAGTCTTCCCCCCTCCTCCATGAAACTAAAAATATGGTAGCTTGAGTTTCCATGTATTGCAATTACGATATCAATTAAATAACTGAAGACTAACAATACCATGTCTTAAATAAAACTCTAGAGACAATAAAGCATAGCAGAGAGTTTAATAGGAACTTTAGATCACATTACAATATACAAAGAGCAGTGCAAATGAACATTTGAATAAAATCGTTAAAAACATTTGAACTGAACTGTTAAAAAACAAAGCTATAGTCCTTCAGTTCTGAAGGTGTCAAAACAAGACCTAAACGTAACAGTGAATATAACAAGTTATCAAAAAGATAAAAATATTGTCTTAACATAACAAATGTAATGTAGCATTAATTACAACAGAACACAGTCAATTTTACATATTAATGCTATGAAAACTAAATAACAACAGTTCAAAGATAAAACTAGCAGGCGAGTTCACAGTAAATAATGATAGGATATAATATTGTCATTTTGAAATGTCACCATTCTACTAAAATTCAAACAACTAGTCATCCAATAATGTACATGACACCCAATGTTAAATGACTAAAGGGTAAAAGTGAGATGAAAACCTGAGAGATTTATACAACAGTTTATATGACTGACTATAATATTATATCTGAAGAATTTGAGACAAAACCAATAATTATAAGGAGTGTCTAGTCAGAAGATTAGATCAGTTCTATATACAAGCACTGAAACTTTCAGATTCTAGCTATCCTGATGCTAGCATGTATCAAGTGATATTACATTTCCATGGTCTTGCATCAGACTGGAAGAATCTAGCCGTAAGGTAATTCCAACTTCCATCGTTTCAAATCTGACTTGAAATCGTGCTGTTTGCCCATGTTTCGAAAGAGCTGATGAATCCAATCCTTCAGATGGATGATACTGCTCATTTTCCAAGAAGTGAGCAATTAGTGAACCCTCAAATGTTTATGACACAAATTCACAGTTTTGAATAAGATACAACCTGGCGTCAACCTGGTCGTGTCCATCCACCTAGCTTTTGCTCCAAGTGTTCCGCAAGGGAAAGAGAAAACCGATCGTTCCCAGGTGCTGTTACAATCTGCATTCCAAAAGGCATGCCTCGTGATAATCCTAATGGGCATTGAGTAGCAGGCAGTCCCATGGCATTGAATACTACAGCGTATCCAGTGTTGAAAGGGTTGGCTAAAATCTGGCCATGATACGCGGCAACGTGAGGAAAGGTCGGATACAAGAAAACTGCAGGCTCCGGTTCTAACATTTGCTTCAGTTCTTCCTTCAACTTGTCCCCACAGCGGATACAGATATCAAGAGGTTTCTTTAGAACAGGAGCTAAGTGGTCCTGAGCACAAGCATTGAAGATGATGGGGAAGGTGTGTTCAGATTTACCAGAAAACCATTTTAACATTTCTTGTTGAAGTGTTTCGTTCTCGTCCGCAGATTTAGTTAATCCCTTCATTATGTTCGATATGCGCTGCTCTTTAACGGTGGAGAGGTAAGCACACCAGATTAGGAATCCAAGTTTAATATATTCTAGATTTACTTTCTGAACAACTAAACCTTCCAAAGAGAGCATACTAACAACCTGAAAAAAAAAAGGAGGTTAGTATTATATAAAACATTTTCGAATTTTGAAAACTGAGTATAGCATGACCAAAAAATTTACACAGCACAAACATTTTAATAATCTCGATCTTTGGTCATACTTCAGCTTACTAGAAGCATCTTGTAACATATGTAGCTTTTGAATTCGTAATTATAGCAGTGCTAAAATTTATTAGTTTTAAACAAAAGCGTTTAGTTTAAACACGATTCTGAAGCATTTCCTGGACAAAGACTACTTCTGTAGTTTTGCTTGTACTTTAATCATTCAATCAAAGAAAAGTGTTTCTTAGTACCATACTGCCTCTCATTTTTGTTATTTCCATATTCCAATAAAAAGCAATTTTAATAATTCATGGTTCCAGGACATCAGCTTTTCAACTCTTCTATTAAGCTTTTCTCACACATACAGGCCAGAGTTTAAATTTCAGCTGTTATACGTACGACAGAACAGTGCTTTTAATTATAATTCCACTTCTCCTTTAAGTCGGTATAGATGTATTACTTTCTTTACTTACAACCTTGAAACTTGATTGAAATAATAAGAATCAGAATTTTCATATAGCCACTGTTGCAAGCTACACAATCTGTAAATCGCAGATTGTGGAAAGAACCATGAACAAAGGTGCTTATATAATAAGGGATATTTACCTGTGGCGTGGCTCTAAAAAGTTCACTCTCAAGATTCAAGACTAAATTCATTTGAACACTGCTGGCCATTAAATTGGCAACATCATGAACAAAAGCAAATACAAAAAGATTTAATGTACATAAAACAATACGGCATGAAGACAAAATGATTGAATTTGTAAGCCGCTTGGGGGTTTACAGGGGTGCGAAATTAGTAGAAACAGCTGCCATTCCCGACAGTAAAACGGCCTTTACCCGGTTAGGCATGAAGAACTGGGTTTGGATGACAGAAACGGGCAACTCATTCCATGCACACATTTCATCAACCGTATTAGTTGATGGGTGGTGAGCCTGTCTCTCAGCAAACCATGATCAGATGTTTTCAATGGGTGACAATCGAAAACTCCGTTTATCGAGGAAGGTCGGAACACGTGCAACATGTGGTCTTGCATTATCTTTTTCGAAGATGACATCGGGTAGGCCTCGAAGATAGGGCACGACCACTGGACGTAAAACATTAGAAATGTACCGATCTGTGTTCAAATTACAGTCAATCTGGACTACAGGTGCGAGTGTACTGTACCCAATGACTGCCAAAACCATCACACCAGGTAAAGGTCCCCTATGCCGACATCGAATGCAAGTAGGCGACGCGCTGTCTCTTCGAAGCCTCCAGACACTCGTACGGCCATCAAAATACTGCACGCATAACCGGGACTCGTCTGCAGAGACTACATTATGCCACTCCTGTATCTAGCTTTGTCGTCCGACGCATCACAGTCGCTGTCTCTCTCTATGCTGCATTGTCAAAGGAAGTCGAAGTAATGTTCGCCGTGCTGGATAGTCCACGCTGCTGCAAACATCAACATTCTGTTGGAGCAAATACTGGGCGTGCTGAAACATGCCCATTTTCTGAGTAATGCTCCGTGATATGGTTATAGGGTTTTCATGGCTGACCTCAAAATATGTGTCCTCTTGGGCGTTAGCCATGGGAGGGCGTTGAGATCCCGCATGCCGTTCAATATGATCTTCAGCAACCCATTAATTCCATATTCGCATGGCTATGTTTGGATGTCAACCAGTGCGACGGGCGATATCACGGAACGATAATACAAACTCTGGACAGGTAACGATCCTGCTTATATCGAATTACGACACTTGCTGGTAAGCATTTCGTATTATTTGAGGCATAACACGATAATCTGATCAAACTCCGACCTTACAAAGAGCTTTCCGAATGAGGAATCCACTACACAACTTTTCTTTTATGCAGTGCTTCGGATGTCGTTTTTCCCTTTCGAGTCGTCTAAATGCATTGAAATACTAATCATTTGCATATCCCAACTCCTTCCTTTCTTGTAATTTTGACGTTCGTCAGATCATCCCTTTCTGGTGTTGTAATTTTAATGGCCAACAGCGTATTTAAAGTCAAGTGATATTTCTGATTATTATACAAGCACAATATTCACACAAGAGAGGCAGGACCTGGAAACGTTTTAAATAGTTTAAAAACTCATTTCGTAGTTTCTCAGTAATATTTGTAAGTTAAAAGTCTATGAAAAGGCGATTTCTTGAAATATGAAGAAACCCAGTTAGGTAACTAAATACAGCTTTAATAATTTTTAAATTTTAAACTTTCTTTCCTAAGATTAATTCTGATATATTTTCGCACTGTCTCGTATAATAAAGAAGTTTAAAAAAGACAGTATAATTAAAACTGGCAAAACATTTATTCCGTAAATAGTTTTACTTACGGCATACCTTCTCAATTAAAGTCAATGATGAATGAAAATTACGTTTAATATAAATACATCTTCAATTATATTCAAAATACGTTACTAAGCAATTACAAGTATATGTGTAACAATTTTATTGAATAAGCATTTACAGCATGGCATGCAGTTTTAGCTGTGTCGCCTTGATAAAGCATTTTTCAGCCGCAGTAAGCTCCCATCTGCTCCAGTCTCTCAGCTACTCAATCAGAAAAAGGGATAAAATTGATATTTGGATCGTCTGAATTCCGATACACTTACCTTCTTCATAGCCTCTTGAATTTCCGATGAAACTGGAGTTGGACAAGGAAATCCTCCGTCATCCAACATGTAATAGACTTTCACAGATCGGAGATCAACCTTGAGAAAAGAATTATTTCACCGATTCATATAAATTTAAAGTCTAGATTTAATATAGAAGAAACTGTAAATGTATTTTCTTACTCTAAAAACCAATTTTCTATAAATATAAATTCGTATAAAGAAAAGTTTGACAATCATTTATCTAGATTGGAAAACGTTAATTTTAACTTACACCGAAAGATAAGTAAACGATGATTACTATTGATAGTTAATACTTGTTTGCTAAAGCACCGAATTTATTGCACTTTATTTTGGAATGTTAAAAACATTTGCAACTCTGAAGAGAAATCTATAAAAAAGTGTTTTATATTGTTTCTTCTTTGAAATATTGAAAATTTATGGCATGAAAAAGATTTCGTACCAAGGTTCTGATCTTTTACAAATTTAAAATAACTGGTTTTAACATTAAATTTCACTCCTTAAATATTTACAATTTGCTATCACATTCAAAATACAGGGCGATTAAAATTACTTGGGAAATATGTAAAGGCGGGTAGAGAGGACCAAAAAGAAAATTTTGCAATATAAATGCCAAAATGAGGTAGCACAATCTGTACACAAAGGTGTAAGCGATCTGTTGGCATAAATAGTCATTCGCCGAGTGGAATTTGAATGTTGTATCGCACAGTATTTATGCGAATAGAGTTGCCAGTTTGACAGAGCATGCGCGCTACATCTTAGATCCTGTTTTTAATGCTATGTTCTATCTACAGTAACATCGCCTTGGCGCAGAAAAACCGAGCCATTCATCCTAGAAAATAATGACTCCGCCGCTTTCCAACGCTTAATTCGCTTAACGATATTTCTTCGCTTACCAAAGAGTCGCTTTACTGGAGTCAGATACCTTAAATTATTTTATGTTATGTATCATTAAGCTCGTCAACATGTATCATTACGCTCGTCAACATGTATTATAGAGCTCGTCAACATGTATTATAGAGCTCGTCAACATGTATCATTACGCTCGTCAACATGTATTATAGAGCTCGTCAACATGTATCATTACGCTCGTCAACATGTATTATAGAGCTCGTCAACATGTATCATAGAGCTCGTCAACATGTATCATAGAGCTCGTCAACATGTATCATAGAGCTCGTCAACATGTATCATAGAGCTCGTCAACATGTATCATAGAGCTCGTCAACATGTATCATAGAGCTCGTCAACATGTATCATTGAGCTCGTCAACATGTATCATAGAGCTCGGCAACATGTATCATAGAGCTCGGCAACATGTATCATAGAGCTCGGCAACATGTATCATAGAGCTCGGCAACATGTTATTTTATCTACAGGAACAGACGAAGCGGAAAAAGAGAACTGCAGCTCTAAAATGTATTCGGGAATCCTTTGTATCCATCACCTTTGAGCCAGCTGCTCAGTTTCTTTCCGCAACCCCATAGATAAAACTATATATTCTCAGGACCATATTTCTATGGTTTTGCCCCTTGCTTTCATTTTTCAGCAGTTTAAAAGTGGGCAGCGTATATTTAACCTCAGTAGTGGTGGGCTCACTTATGTCGGAACGGATAAGATAGCTGAACACTGAGTAGCGGCACATTTCAGCACTACGTATCTTTAATAGCTTGTTCATGTTTTTCGAAGAATTATTCAAACTACGCACGAGGCAAACATGGAATTAGGTAGCAAGTCCGTTCAGTAGCTCAGAATGTAATAAGGGATGCAGTACTAGTAGAGTTCAGACTCATCCATCCATTCAGCTATTGATGAAGCCAAGAGTAGAAAAACTAACTTATATTCATTAGCTAAAGCTAAATGAATTCTATGCGGTGAAAGATATGCAGGGATTAACAGAACTACTATTTTTCAGTTCATTTAATTTTAAAGCAATGATATTATGTAGAAGACAAGGAATTATATCGATAATATAACTTTCGGCAGTTTTACGTCCCTATTCACAAGGTGAAGTGAAGGTCTATAGTAGACAGCAACGTAATGAATTTTGTGCAAAGAGAAAAATCACATCTTAATTAGAGGCGTCTTGATGTATATATCCTTTACTTTCCTAAGATAAACCAATTAGCCTTGCTTAAAATTTATTAGACCATCTACAGAATTCATATAAAAAAGTTTGGTAAAACTTTACAATTGGGTGCCCCTTGTTTGGCGATTCCTTTATGACGCCAAGATCGGCGCCAAGAAGGCACAGTTTCAAGGTGGCCGCTACACAAAATCAAAATAAAAAGTCAAAGAATTGCATGAACTCCGTGTCCATGTACACATCGATCTATTTTCACTTAAAAAACAGAGACTTGCACAAACTAGGCACTACCTTAACTTTGTCCACGTACACGTCGATCTATTTTCACTTGAAAAATATCAGGAAGTTAAAACCAAACTATTATATCTGTCATGGTAACCAGAAATGGGGTTTCATTGCCAAAACTGAACAAAATTTGTCGCTAATTGAAGGGGCACCCAATTCAACAGTGGAGCCAAAAGTTTTTATGCTCTCGTATTAGTGCGCAAAATATATAAAAAACACCAAATGCTGAAATAATAAATAAAATATAAGCTCACAGGAGCATTTAACTGAAGCCGTTGAGTTTCTTCTTTACCAATGAGGGCAGAAAGGACAATCTTCAGATCCACAGCATATCTTGTCATTGGTCCGACAACCACGTAAGGTTGAACTTCTTCCAAAGCTGGCGGAAATTGGCCTGCAATTGGGACTACTCCTATACGGGCAAAAAGCATTTAAAATACAAAGGCAAATATTAGAATTAAAACAGATGACTTCACTGACAATTTTAAAACAAGTATGGAAAATATAAAAAATTCAATATCCTAATTATATTCTTGTATGAAAACGTTTGTATATCACCTTTATGATGAAAAAATAAAGCTTATTCTATGCAGGACTTTATTTTGATCTGTGCTGTTACTTTTAGATTACAAATATACCGCACTTTATGTAATTATGAAGTTAAGCGGCTCCTTATTTTCTCCTTTTTAGTCTCCCTACACACTTCAGTTTTTCATATGCACTCGTAAAGGTTATTAGTCTTACCAGGCAATTAGAAGTCCACGGTAATAACATCAAAGATCTGTTGTATTCCCAGAAAGAAATGACAATAAATGAGTCTATGTATGAGCAAATCTTACTAATGAAGAAGCCAATGCCGCTGACACAGGAACATCAGAAAAGCAGACGACAACTGCTAGCTTAAAATACAATCTCAGCTCATTTGAAAAGGAATTTCAAAATTTTAGATAATAGAATAAGAAAAATCGTGCTAGGTACAAGACAAGGAATAAAAATTCTATTAGCCTTGCTTTCACGAAATTTCAAGTTATAAAAAAGTAAAGAGTCGTCAGACCGAAATGTTATATTTTATAAAGTCAGTGGCATCGAAATAACCCCGTTTATATACCATTTTAGCGCTATTTTGTAACGATATGTCTAAAACCTATTTTCTTTATCACAAACTTTTATTAGCCCTTAGTTAAAATTCTTATATTCAAAGTTAGACCCCGTACTTAAGCATTTCGGGGCATTTCTTCCGATACAATGAAGAAATCTTCGCAGAATTCATTGAGAATTCCAGTTTAAGCATTAAAGTTTAAAACCTCCAACTATTAAAATTTCTTGAACGTCCATAATTAATTCTAAAATAGCTGCATGTCAAAGAATCAATGCGCTCAAACTTTTCAAAGCTCTAAATCTTATTTGCGCAGCATAAAATGTCTACTTTAAATTTTTAGCTTATTACACAAAATTTAGATAGACAGATCTATGGTTAATAAAGTTTTAATTCCAGCATCAAAGTTATAGTACCTGGAGAGTCTAACCAACAGACTTACCAGATATTTTTTAAACATGTTATACATCTAGCTACGTACCTTTTAAAAATTAGGGTTTCCTAAATACTTACCTTGAGTTGGTTTATGTCCGAAAATACCGGTAAAGAAAGCAGGCAGGCGAATACTTCCACCTAAGTCTGTGCCCAAACCAATAACTGAACCAGCTGCTGCAATCAAAGCTGCTTCACCACCTAGAAAAACATTGGATCTTATATTTAGGATGAATCGGAAAATAACTTATTCAATCAGATTAAATTCAAGAATATTAAGCAAATGTGTTTTCCCTAAATTTTATGGCCGAATTTGCAGTAAAATAGGTGCTGGCTACATGATTTCACAATTCTAGAAAATGCTTACAACTCATTCCATACATGCAGCCAAATCCAATGATATTCTCAAAAATAAGTCTAATAAAAAAAGATTTAATCCTCCAGTAATAAATACCTTGGTCAATTCATGGTATTCTGAATTCAACTTCTATTCATTCAATTATCCGTTTTAATTAGCAATTCGAAAGTAAGACTGCCAATTAAATTCAATTCTTATAAAATACTGTAAGTAATTAAATAAATAGGAAAACATTTACGTATTCCGTTGACTAAAAAAGTAAACTGAACATACGAGACCTGAATGATGCATACAAAACACTTGCGACTGAATACAACTACAGATCCACAATACGAGCAGAAGTATTTAACCAGAGATCAAACAGGTTTCGACCATAACTCAAGTTTTAGAATTCAAAAATGCGATACAGAATTAGAGCATATGGCGGAATTTAAACCTTCTTCAATCGACAATTAGTAAAGGTGATTTGCGATCCATTTGGGGTTAGACTCTCATCAAAACAAAATTCATGCATAGGATTTCGAATTTTGTCCCTAATCAAAGATTTTTCGAATTTTATTAAAAAGAGCAAAGTTAATTTGAGGTATACCTCATATTAGGTGAAGTGAAAAAGAAAGAAATTATCAGAAAGAAATCTAATCGAATCTATAGGCTTTTATTAAACGAACCAATTGATAATTAGCACACGAATTTCAGATTTGACGTGGGTTTCGCAAGTTTCAAACTTAAAAACGTTACTTAAATTAACCAGTTATTTATAATTTCAGCCTTTCCTGTAACTTTTCAGTTTCTTCATAAGAAAGTAAATGAAGTTAGTACTTAAACTCAGTAGTTAAAATCGCAATAACAACCTTGTATTTAGAGTACATATGTTAAAACAATCGATTTCGAGGGCAGCTAAAGGTTCCTTCTCATCAGGAGAACGAAATTACTAGAGGAGAAAAAGAAAAATAAAGCATTAGCAAAGGAGTCTCAGAAACACGTGGTCGTTATCAGCACACGCGTGGTCGTAAACGGATTTTGAATCGGATTTACACTGGCCGCCTGCTTTTACTGAGCCAGGCTATCTGATCAAACATATAACACAAAGACAAACGCAAACAAATGAAGGAAATCACCAATACTGAACACCTCGAATTATTCGAGGCTCAGTCTTGGGTGCGTGAAGGTGCAGTTGCACCTCACTCCCTATTTTCTGATTTCCTTGATTTGTTTGCGTTTTAGTCTTTGTGTTATATGATCAGATAGCCTGGCTCAGTAAAAGTAGGCGGCCAGTGTAAATCTGATTCACAATCCGGTTACGACCACGTGTGTGCTGATAACGACCACGTGTTTCCGAGACTGCTTTCCCAATGCTGTATTTTTCTTCTTTTTCCCCTTTCTAGTAATTTCGTTCTTCTGATGAGGAGGGACCTTTAGCTGCCCTCGAAATCGATCGAGTGTTAACATATGTACGCTAAATACAAGGTTGTTATTGCGATTTCAATTGTCATGGCGTGTTTCTCTTCTATTCTACTTAAACTCAGGTTGTTGAATTGCAAGGCAGTATTTTTCTGTTCTGCGCATGCACTTTACGTTTGGTTCCTGCCATCTTTGATAAGTGGTAATTATTCGGCTTTGCGTTATTGCTGCTGACATTAGAATTTGATACGCCGGTTAGAACTACTGAGTCAACTCAAAAGTAAAATTTAACTGCGTAGTCCGACTACCGTACTACGCTTTAAACTGAAATTTATTATTCCTTTAGTTACAACACCACAAGTTGCGACTGATTTTGTTAGCACGAGAATGTACATTTATATTCCAAGTCTTTTTTAAATAAAAAGGTTTACTTAAACCTTAACATTTGTAATTACTTTCAGACACAGCGCATGTTATGGGTTTGGGCCTGCTTAAATTTTATAAATCAAAGGAAACCTCATAAGGTACTAGTTGATTTTGAGGTATCGGACTACAGTAAATTTCACGAAATTCAACACAAACTCTTGACAAAATGGGTCGTTTTTATCGAATAAGATGTTCGATATTATAGCTAAGTAAATAAAAGTTCTAAAAATAAGTAATAAAATGTAAGGGTTGAAAACATGGTTATTTAAATGCTTGAACTACTAAAGCTCATAAGACTAATTTTTACTCTTTAGGGAAAACTATCGGGTGGCTCAAGATAAACTGAATCGGACATGAGAGACTTCAGTTACTTTCGGTTTGGTTTACCTTCACCAGCTAAAATTTTAGCATTGGTAATCCAATATTCAACACCCAGGTTAGGTGAGATTAGTCTTTTCGATTCAAAAAATTTACACCAATTAGTGACATCACCAATTAGCAAATAACTCAGATGCTGTTGAATAGAAGCTTGTCATAAACCTTAAAGCCCATTATGTCATGTCATACATTAGATTACATTATTTGAATATAGATAAGTAAACGAGGGCAGTCCTTCGTGCAAAGCTTTCTAAAGAAAACTGGTTCGTGCCTACGTTAGAGATGAGGAAAAAAGAAAACCAACAAACTAACCAAGCTCGTTTACCTGGGTTCATCCAGGAAAAACTTCCAGTATTCAGTGATTTTAACCAATCGGCCACTGGTGGAGAAAGCACTATTACAGTAAAGCGACATTAAAAATTAGTACAGAAGACACAGCTGAAGATTCTTTCGTAATAACTTATACATTTAAAGGAACAAGAACAAGATGATTCATTGTTTAATATAGTTCTTAGTTTATTTGCGAGGAGAAAAAATTAAGTTCTTAAACCATTTATAAAAATGCGAAAGAAATATTAAAACAAAGACTCAAATTTGATTCAAAGTAAAATACGATTATTTTGTTGAAGATTCTCCCAAAATATTCTCGCAAGCATTTGATATTCGATAACTCGGTGTACTTTCTGAAAAACGTTGAAGTCAATAAGGGAAAAAAATGGTTCTCGCATAAAATATAACAGCAAAGATTCTTACCACTACTACCACCAACAGTTCGCGTGGTATCATAGGGATTGTTAGTTCTCCCATGCAATTTATTGTAAGTTTCCCACCACATGCAGATTTCGCTTGTGTTCGTTAGGGCTAAAGGTATAGCACCAGAAGCTCTCATTCGCTGTACTGGCTCGCTGTCTTCTTCCGCCTTCAGTCCTTTTCTGCAGACTAGACCACATGTGCTAGACAAACCTGCAAAAATAAACATAATAAAATTCGCAATACAGATTTAATTGCAGAACTATAAATAAAATTTCGTTATTAGAACATTTTAGCAGCCGCATTAAATTAAAATTTTTGCAATTTGCCAAACTGCGAAAAGTTTTATAACATAAAAGAAAGTGAAAGAGATTGAATGTGCACAAACTGAACTAAGAAGTCTTTCCATTTATGCTTTAAAATGAATAGATGCAGAACTGAAGGTTCTAAAAATTGGATTTGCAGTTTCAGAATTTTTAGCAAGCGCTGTATCTGCATAAATGTTCTCATAAAACTTTTACATTTTTGCTGAAAAGTTAAGGACTATCAAAGCTCAAAAGCCATTATAAATTTCCACTTTGTCTATTAAACCACATACGACTCTTACTTTTATCTATATAAATTTTAAGAAGCCTTACAAACGGCATCTTCAAGCTTATTTTAATAAGCCTCTCGTTAGAAAGCGAAGCGACTCTTAAAATATGATTAGATGCAGAAGAATCTTATTTCAAGTTTATTAAATCTTACCAATAATGGGATTTAAAAAGTAAGAACTAGTATACAACCCAAAATAAGAGCTAAAATTAGCTAGTAAGAAAAAAAAATTCTCAACCTAAACATTACAACTTGCCGCCCACACGGTATAGTGGTTAGGGATACCTGACTGCGATACCGAAAGGTCCGGTTTCGAATCCCGGAGAAGGCATGGATATAAATTGTCTATCCGTTCATAGGAGGCACAAGTGACCCACCTATTAGGTGCCTCCATAATAAAGAGACCACCACATTCGGCCTTAAGAGTGGCCAATGCCGGCATAGGCAAGTTCCCGCCATTTAAAAAAAACTTCGTGTTCTATTTTCAGCCGCCCAGATGGTATAGTGGTTAGGGAACTGACTGCGATACCGAAGGGTTTGGGTTCGAATTCCGGAGAAGGCATGGTTGTAACTGTCCGTCCCTTCATAGGAGGTAATAGTGGCCCACCTATTAGGTGCCTCCATAATAAAGAGACCACCACATCTGGCCTTAGGATAGATTAATGGACTCTGTTACAAAGTTGTAACAGTTCACAATCTGCCATTGGAAAAAAAAATCAGATTTAGCAATCATTCGCTGGACTAAATATTAAGATACTGCTGAATCCAGATATTGAAATTAACCCAGTGATCTTGAACACTGAAAACGTAATGATCCAAAAGCATCGAATATATTAACTCAGTTGATCAAGGACTTTGTTGCCGATGAGAGTAATTTGAAAACCATTATACCATTTTTGCTTCCGTTTATCGTTTTCAGTATTCGATTTCAGAGACTTCGTTTTGGGGATTTATTGTAAATGAAACGAAGGAAAAATCCCTAAAAGATAATCGCTTGAGTGCTTTTTACTTTATCATTAACATGTCTTTATGCTTCTTCAAGGACTTCATGCGCAATTCTCCATTATAAATTGAACCTTGTTCTTTTTAAAATAGTAAATTATTCATGATGGCCACACAGAATCTTTATTTTAAATTATCGTAGTACTAATCGCTCTTGCTGAAATGACAGGGGTATCCTGGACTCCTTTTTGAATCACTTGATGTGAAAATGTGACGTATATATTTTTTATGAATAAGGAAACTTACCTTTAATAAGTAGGGCTTCTTTAGCGGTGAATGGGACTCCCAAAAGTGGGTATTGTTCTGCAATCTCTGCCTCGGTCATACATCCAGAACGGACAAGCTGATCTGCTAAGCGTGCTTCTGCTATGGCTTCAATATACCGACCCTCTACTACAGCATTGATGAGTCCATTGATTTCACTTATACGATGAATGTAGGCTTTTACAACTTCTTCGCTTGAAATCTGAAGAAAGAATTTAAAGGAAACTTAAGACTTGCTCATCACCTTAAATTTTAATAAAACTGAAATTTTTGTTTTATTTTCAAATAAATTAAGTATTTCTAAGAAACGCAAAATGATTTTTCAGAAGCGAATATTCTGCGCGATTTAGCAGAACAGTTTTCTAATCAAATTCACGAACGAAATACACATCGAAATTCCAATACAATTTTACAATAATCACCATTTTAAAATATAGTTCAGAAGCGTTAGATCGTTGATTTCAAGGATAAACAGCAAGTATACTAAAACAGATGCAAGAACACATAGTTAAAACTTTATTTAACAACAACCATTCTCCGTTAGAATTTGCGATTTATTTCATTTCGTTGTCTTATGCAAAGAACAGTAGTTAAATTACAAACTAATCCATTGGCTATACGCTGCAACACAATTTATAACATATGTAGAACAATATTTCTGAATGTACAATGCAGTTTCCTTTATTATCAATACATCATTTTCTATGGCTGCTGCATTTTATTAATATTTCAATTTAAAATAAACTTAATTTTATTAGTCCCATTATATTCTATAATCGAACATCAACGATTATGTATCTATCCGCGACTAAACCACTTTAATTAAAACTCGAGAAATACTATAGCTTCCACATGTAAAAGCAAATCACCAGTTTATTACATTATTTCATTATTTAAAGACAAAATCAGCTTTACGTTGTAAATAAATGATGCAAAAGTAGAACCTGAAATTCCTGCTTAGAAAACAAGTCAATTAAAAATTGTACTCAAGTTATTCAAGTAAAATTGTACTGAAAATGAAGTAGGAAAAAATCCCAAATTAAGAAAAATTTTGCTAGAAGATAAATTTTACAGTAATTTATTAACAGTATCATTGATGTTGATAACGGATATTAAAAGGATTTGGTATTTTAATAATTTCATGTTTATAATTTGCTTCATTATAAATATATATATATATATTTTTTAACTGTACAACTAATTACTACACGAGTTCCCAGATAGACCGATGGGACGCGAAAATTGGTAATAAATATAGAAAATTTCTGTTGAATAAGAGAGTATGAAAAATATTTCGTCTAAATCTACAGGTAAACCCTATTGATCTACATGTAAAAGTACAACCTGCAAGCATTATTTAGCAGTAGTTTACCATTTTATTCATTCAACCATTAACTTACTAAAACCAACTACAGTAATTCAAGGTGATTCCATTTCATTTATATAATTTATATAAAATAAAAAACAAGGTAGGAAATGCTGAGCTCTAATGCTCAGGCCCTGTTCATGAATTAGCCTGAGAATTTTATCTTCACACTGCAGCTACCGAATATAGTTCAGTAGTTTAAACAAGAATTTATTTGTGCAATAAAAAGCCAAACGATTAAAACCAGGCTTTGCGTAAGAGTAAATTGAGGTTAATTGTAGTCACAGCAAAGCTGCGGGCAAATGCTGGCTAAAACTAACCAATACGCGTTTGCAGTTTGTTCCACTACATATCGAAATGCGAAAGTTCTCTTCAGGCGACTGCCACTGCAATTCAACTTCCAATAGCACGACATGCTTGACTACATCGCATAGAAGTCCAGAGAATTTTCCAAGTTCCAGCTATTGCTTACAGCTTTTCACAGTTTTTTCTCCGAAAACTATCGTATTTTGAAGATATTCCTAGTTACTTTATAGTGGATTATCTGATACGGAAGTTAAAACTGTTTTTAACGTATTCTCGCATTTACTACTGATGTTAATGAAATATTCATTTTTAATCAGCTTAAATCTTACTTGGAATACTGATTCGATAAACCTATATTTGTATCGTAAGTTCCAGTACTTTATCAAATTTCACGATTCATTTTTGAAGGTTGGGTTAAGTAATCGATTAGATGAAAAACTCAAAAGCTAATCTGCCTTACGAGAAAGGTTTAAGAAAGAGGAGTTAAACTGGCTGATATGAAAAGCTTATGCAGCTGTATTATACAGAATCGAAATCGATAAGAAATTTCTTTCAGTCACTTGGCCACTTTTAACACATTGACAGCGGCGCGGATATTCATTGTTCCTTTCGTGCGGCGGAGCTTGAATCAAAGAATCTGTAATCTGAATTAGCGGTCCGTTTCGTGGTTCGTCCGTTTTGTGAATATCTTAGTAAAGTAAAAAAAAAATTTTTTTTTTTTTTTTAAATTTGTACGAAGGATCCGCGAGGAAGACGAGAAAGCGATTCAAAAGAATGCTATAAACGCTTAACAAGCCTAAAAGGTTCGCCACGAATAGAGTAAAGAAAGTAACAACTTAACTGCGATAATTGTGAGGGCAAGCTGGCACATTGTTTAGCCTGCTTTAAAAATTACGAAAAACGTTAATTAAGTTTAATTTATAAGTTACATATTAAGTTATTTGTTTTACATTGAATATTTGATTATAATGTTTAAATGTTAATGCATACTATTGAATAATTAAAATAAAATTTTGTAATATATATTTTTTATATATATAAGCGTGACCCATCGGTGAGTCATGCTGTCCCGCGAAACAATCAAGCATGACCCACAGGTGGGTCAGACCACCATCAACGTGATTGAATTACGAAATTTACTCGATTGCTTCTTAAATAATGCAAAATACACATTTATTCTAAAGGACGTTATAAACGACTTTCACTTAGAAAAATCTTCGCACAACCAGCAGCGCTTACACCAATTGTAATGAAAGTTCGCAATGGTATTGCAGTATTTGGAACTTTGTTCTGTATATTGTATTTTAGAATGAACTGCAAAAATTCAAACGAACCAACCACCATTTCGTTTTCACTAACAATAACGGAAATATTCTAATGTCACCGACATCATAATATAGCAGTTTTAGTAATTTTCGTTCTAAAGTTTCGACGTAATAAAAGTAAGAATAGGTTATGTATCTATTGAAACCTCGTGATTTTTTTATTACTTTTACCTCGAGTAAAAACTTATTTTCCTTCAGTTTAATTCGGAATTCATTTTCATTTCTCAATTCTTCAAAATTTTATTTTTTACGTGCCTCGACGATCCACATCATTAACACTACAAAATGTTTCATGCAAAAAATTGTGTCGCGCCCTCTCTGGCTTGCCACTGCCAGTTTTGTAAGTAGGAAATGCCAATTCATATAAACGCGATGTTGAAGGGGGAGAAAAAAAAGTCACTTATAAAAAGTCTTTCTGAACGTCAAATTCGAAAATCTCGTGGTACATCTGGTAAGTACTCACGGCACAGTTTGGTTTGTCTAATCAATTATGGCAAAACACGCGAAGGCTACCCGTACCGGTTGGGAAACACCTCATTACAGAACAACCAAGAAGGTCAATAGCTTCCGATTTGCTCTTGGGGGTAAATCCAGCACCGCAAGATTACATCAGTACTCTCGAAAGGAAAAGTGGCCATGAACCCGTCTCTGAAGTAAGCTGAACCTGCTTAGAAGTTGCTTCAGAATCCAAAGAAAAATGAGTGTGACGACATTCACGAATTTGTTCTTCAGACCCTGTTACCGAATAACATACCAAGTGGCGTACTATGGAAAATCAGAAAAAAATTAGCTTGGGAAAAATTAGCATGGTTTAAAGTTAACGATAATAATGAACATTAATGGAAAGCGAGCGAATTCTTTTAGCATAGATTAGATTTGCCGAAGTGCATTTATAGTAAGTCTGTAGAATTTTTCCTACAGCTACAGTTAAAGTTAATCATCTTTCCAATGCATTTATTCAAGCGAATATTTTCTGTCTGTATTAAGAGTGTTTTAAATTTATCAAATCCGAATTCGATAATTTTAATGGGTACATGACTGAGGTACTAAAAATTTCCTGTCAAAATTTTTCGATATCAGAAATTTTTAATCAGAATCAAAATTGTATAAAGCAGTGGTTCTTAGCCATTTTTTTGCCCTAGCAGCCCTTTCTTTTACCTTTGCTAAACGATAATTACCTCTTTCAAGAAACCAAAAATACAGTTACATCTCTATATTTAGATTAATGTATAAAACACATTAAAAACCAAAAAAGTTTCGAAAGCTTTCGGATTTCAAATTACGCCCCAAAGGGCTTTTTGAACGTTTTGTGTGTTACCTTTATTTATTATATATCATGCTTTTCGCACTTTAACTACACAAAATTCAATTCAACAGCAATATGACAAGCTATTTAAAAACATATCTTTAGAATTTCTGATACGCTGGAGATAAAAATATTTTTCCGCACAGTGTTGCCATTCCTCGCTTTGAAATCGTCGAGTTTGTTTATGAAAAATTCGTTAAAATTGTACAAAATTCGAAATAGATAATAAAACAAATTTGAAATTCAAAATTCGGGCTTCAAGTGCCCATGTTCGGTCGGAGGATTAAGTTATTCAAAATTTGATGGTTCTAGGTACCGTTGTTTTTTCACAATACAAGAAACATTCATGCAAATTCTTCATTATTTAGTTTCTTTAAAACTAATACATGGAGATAATATTTGTTGGCAACAGTCTGAAAAGTGAATCAATGCAGAAAGTGAAACGACGCAAAATAGGCTCAAAGGGCTATTAGTCTCAAAGTAATGACGTAATCCTACCCCTTTGGGCCTAACGAGAAAAAGTAGACGATATTGATAAATATCAAAACTTGAATAAAAACGTTTTTGCAGACAAACTAGAACTGAAATTAAATACTTAAGTAAATAAAAGGCTGACCGCATTCCTCCTGCCTGAAAACTTGAAAAACTTCTGAAGGGGGGATGCTCTCCTGGTTAAGAACCCTGGTATAAAGCATTCGGAGAAAATTTTTAGTGCTTTAAAAATGGAGAAATACAAAGAAAAATATTAGTCTCTCAGAAATTTTGAATATTAAATATATTGGTGCATACCAGGCCAATGATCAATTATTTTTGCTGCAGGAAAAAATTAAGTAAAAGAATTCATCAACTTAAATTTCTGTAGGATAAATTTAAATTATTTTACTTGGCTCCCGCTCAAA